TCGACGTTGAAAGGAATTTCGGCAATTTTTGGTGAAAGAAATAATAGTTTCTCCAATATCTGTGAAGTCTTTTTTTTTTATCTTGAGCGGGTTTCTCTGGACCTGGAGCAGAATTAAGTTGATTGGTTTTTTGAGGTGCGAGACCAGCATCATATTGGTTACCAAAAGAACTTCAACCAGCCATGGGAACGGCTGATATTGGTAGAAAGTTAAATTTTAACTTTCACTTTAATTACAAAAAATGAATTCAACTCAGCTTTGTTCAGGATAACAGCACTCACCTAAATTCAACGCTCTTTTGATACGCCTTCAGCTAAATTTTACGGCCCGTAAATTTTGATTCACTGAGAAAAAGAAACTACATAAGGCGGTCTGTTTTATGCTGTAGTAAATTTTTGATGCATCACAGCAAGCGATTATATAGGGACTGGGATAAAATCTCCATTAAAAATAATTTCTTTGACCAGAATCCAAATACTGTACTCGATAACAATTGCATTTTGGGGCATTCCTTATAATGCAAATTTATTGAAGAACATTTTAAAATGGATTGCGCATAATTTTACTCCGAGCATCTTGATTTTTCTCCGATGTCACGGCAAATGAAATTCGAAATTTGATCATTAAAATGTTCATCGGTAAATTATGCAAAGTCAGCTTTTTTGTCTGCTCAAATTAAGCCTTCGTATTTGATTTTAGAGGAAAATACACCCCAGTGTCATGTATAAAAAACAGGAAACTTAGTTCTACTGTACTTGCTTTTGATTTCCCAATATATTGAAAGATGCTGGATGTGGAAAAAATTAAAAGATTGATACACAGCTGGCGTTTGTATTCGAAGGTGTAAAAATGCCGAATCTTCAAATTTTGCGCAACATGGACCAGCAATTGATTGTTACACAGTACAACATATGTATAGAGGCGGCTTTTGCATAAGTATAAGAAATTGAGAGTGGCTAACGAAACTAATCACTCCAATTATACACGATACATCATAGGCTGCTATTTTTCAAATGGAAAAACTATTTGTTGCGTGTTTTTTGTGTGTTTTTTTTCAGATTCCTCCACAGTTCCCTTTATAAAAAAAAACAGAGTAAAGTATTCCTAGTCAGTGAGATCATGATTATATCAAATCAGGTCATCGTAATCTCAGGAAAAATCCCACATTAACGGAAGTTTTTCCTGAAATAATATTTCTATACATTTGACTTTTCTGGATAAAAACTGGAATTTATTGTTTAGAATGCCCGAGTAATTTCAAGGAAAGAAAAGGTTTTTCATAATTCTTAACAACTCTGCAGCAGTAGGAAAATTCGCAGTCGATTCTCATCTCTCAAGGGAACCCATCAATTTTTACCTCGAGTAAATCGTCACCAGCAGCAGCATGAATAAATCATTGAACAATTCCCATTTCTCTTCACGATGTTGTTTGATATATTCGTCAACAAGTAGCTCGAGTCTGGATCATTCTAATATATCGCACCACATCATTATTTTATTCTTTTTTTTCTTCTGGCCAAGAATAACTATCCTTTATGGACAACTTCCGTATCGTCCAATTCGCCGGCTTCATATACAGTACAGTGCATATTCGAAAAGCCCTCTGCCAAAAAAAGAGCCCCTCAATCAACAATGGAGCAAGAGTGCGGGGGAAAACATACAAAATTGCACAATATGCCTTCAGTCAGTTCCACGAGGGAGCAATACGAAAGAGAGAGAGAGAGAGAGAGAGAGAGAGAGAGAGAGAGAGANAGAGAGAGAGAGAGAGAGAGAGAGAGAGAGAGAGAGAGGAAAAATTGGCAGAACGCAACAGCTTATTATTTCCACGCTGGGGTGGGTTTCCTACGCACACCAGGGACCGGCCGAATGTGAAAAATATGGGCTTCCTCTCCTACTTTTTTTATTTTTATTTTTTGCATTTATACATCCCCCTTCTCCTTGTGCAAAAATCATGGTGTGCAACACGTGTCCGAACGACGAATGTGCACACGCACAAACTCTCACTCCACTCCATATCCTAGCTGTGCTGATAAAGCAGCAAAAATCGGGGGGCTTCTCACAAGTATCAATCCCTTTTTTCAGAATTTTCTGCCAAGGTCAATATTCTTTCGAGATTTATTTGTGTTTATTCTGGCACAGATGCATATACTTTGCTTATTCACGATAGAGAATAATTAAGAGGATGGCAGAATTTTCTTGGTCACTGTGCTGAGAATAAAAATAAATAAAAAGTGAAAATAATTTCCATGTTACAAATGTTTCCCTGGAACAGATGGTATTTGTTGGGCCTGAGTTTCAGTTGAATCTTATGACTAAACTTTCCCAAAAGTGAAAACCCCATGTTAAATTATTGTTTAGTCCCTTGCTAAATTCCCATAAAAGAATGATCTCTAGATGATATTCTCAGCTGAAAGACTTATCCTTTCCAACCTCCATTATTTTTCCTTTCCTGGGGCTCTTTATTTTGGATAATATACTGAATTTCAGACCAATTTTAGATGCTGAAATTTGTTTTTTTTCTAGCTACAGTACTATGAATGAATGAACAGAACACTTTATTTGCCGCTTTTCAGTATTCACAAGGTTCAATCAAGATTTCCACATCCAAACCCCCTTCCCACCCAACCCAAATCCACTCCAAGACATTTAATCACTTCAGAGCAGGAAACAGAGCACAAATTGATAACAAAAATAAAAGAAAATACAATCCACAAAATACAACTGGACATCTGACATGTATGCATACACCCATTCATTCCCTGACATTGAAAGCAAAATATACGTAAAAATTAATTTAGAGCACAAGGTCTTCAGCTGGTTTCTGTATGAGGTTTAGTTGAATGAACAAATTAGAGAGAATCTTTGATGAGAAATCATATAAGGCCAACATATAAGGCAGTTTATCTTGATCCTTTAAGATTACAGTGCTATAAAAAAGTATTTCAGCTGTTAACCCATGGCTATTGCTGAGAGTCTGCCCAACTTGGAAACCCCTCAGCAACTGAACAACAGGTTTAGCCATGGTGACAAATTAGCTGCTGAAAGTCCTCACTGCTGCATTCAGCTCTCACAGCCATTGATATAAACATGTGCCATCTGCCAAACTCAAAATTCCCTGTATCACATTCGTCATAGTTCATTCCTTTGGATTTCAACTGGAAAAGGTCAAATTTTTCAAGCTCCAGTTCTGAAATAATAATAAAATTTATGCATGTGCAGTTTTCGAGGATGTGCCGTTGAAACTGTGTCTGTAAAGAACAGACATGCAATAGACTTCACTGTAATAAATCATTCATATTTTTTACAGCAACAAATAAAAAATCCATGTGCTTGTGAAGGACATGTTCACTTAAATATACCGTAAATGCAACACTTTAATGCCATAAAAAGCTACGTTAAGGCGTATTATCTATCACATAATTTCATCCGTGGAAACAATTTACAGGAAGAAGATTTTAACTAGCTAACGCAAAATTGATTACGCGTGACGTGATTGAAATTCCGAAATTCCTAAACGAATATATTGGCTCTTCTTTTGGGATTAAAAAAAATTAGAAAAGGCTCAATGAAGACACACTTCGTCAAACATGTATTATACTAATACTTCACAGACAGTGACGAATAAGATCCGCACTTTTTTAAAGCTTCTATGGTCAAGTTATGTTTCCATTTATCATTTATTTTTAAAATAATTCTTCAACGTTGATACGTGAAGCTGATAGTCAAGGTTCTGGCAATCGTCTTGAGGTCATTTAAAAATTATTGACTAGCCTCAGATATTCAAGCAAAAAGTAAAAATTGAACCTTATATGGGATCAGGCTGAATTTTTAGTCATGTAATCAAACTGGTGATTGAATATATACAGTAATTCCTGTTTTTCAAAAAAAATTAAAATGTTTAGATGGAAGTAAAACAGAGTCAAATGCTTTTTTTGGTTGTCAAAGAATCCATTTTCTTGCATGATTCATAGCAGGTTAATCCAGTCCTGTCCACAATTCACCTAAACAGAAATTGCTCCCAAAATGTTTGCACAGAAACACGCAAACAATTTATTCATAATACGACCTTATGTCTTTCCTGCCTTTTAATATAAATAATGAAATAGGTTTCCTACAAGATATAATGTGCCTCTTCACATATATATTTTTACGTGAAATAACCAAACAAAAGTCAATCAAAAATTCGTGCAAGATTGATAATTATAACTGTTAAAAAATCCCCGAATATTGTAATAATAAGGGAAAGAAACTAAATAACAGAACACCTTCATCTAGATGCAAATTTATTTGGCATTTCATGGCTTTACAGTTATCCTTTTCGTCGTTTGTATATTCCAAGTAGAAAATAATATTCGCATAGAAAAGAAACAAGCGAATTTTTGAACAATTTAAATTAAAAATTACAAGGTGACCCTGACAACGAATTTAGAAGGGATTACGTGAAATTCTATATCCTGGAACACTTCCGTGTCTCTTTTTTTTCATTGGATGGCTCCAAACTGTCTCTCCTTTCATTTAAGTGGAATATAATTTCAACACCATGAAAACAACTTGAATAGGTCAAGTTAAAAATTAAACCCTGACCCTGAGAGCGAATTTGCCAAGGGAATTATGAAGGGATCAGGTCGGAATATTTCGACCAAACTCCGGGCGTCAAATTGCACCCTTCAGCAATTTCGAACCCCTTTTTCATAGATGAAAATAAACAGGGGAAAAAAATCGGAGAATAATTTCCGGAAAATCCTTTGACTGATGCATCCGTTCGCACGCAAGCTCGGATACGATGTGGATGAAAGAACGGATTACGGATTAACCCTCGAATATATATCCGGGGGATTGTATCCCTGGAGTCCGGTTTCCCACGAAGGAAGGACGGGGAGAAATATAAAAAAAAGAGGAATTACGTTGGAATGGGGGATGAACATGCTAATGAGCAAAGAATATTTTGAACACGTGCATCATCGAAACCATCTCTTGCCGGAATTTTCTGACATCAACATGTATAGGGAATTTATTCGTCGTTGATGAAATTCAGGCGCAAACATATCAATGGTGTATTCGGGTTACTCATTTTGAGGGAACTTGTTGAACCCTGAAATATTGCGGGTTACTCCTCCATACCCGTCTTCCGGAAGGAGGATTAACGATAATTGGATCTCCAACTTTTTTTTCCGGATGTCGGGTCGGCATTACCATATTTTAGGAAACAGTTCACCCATGAATTTGAATGTAAAACATCTTTTAACCTATGCTGCTGGATTTCAGCGGTGTCCAGAAATTTTAAAACATTTTCGAACGTGAAAAAGTTCGTTTAATTTTGTGAGCATTGAAAGCTGAAGTTTTTTTTTTTTAATATTTGATGGACAAGTTAAAAGATTTTCAAGCGTATTAACTTGTATTGAAAGCTCAAGTTTTTCTGATATTTGATGTCCAAGTTGAAACATTTTCAAGCGGGAAAAAGTTCTTTTAATTTTGAGAGTATTGAAAGCTCATGTTTTTATGATATTTGATGTCCAAATTTTAGGCTGCTTTCAAATCACTATACTGTCTAAAAAAAAATACTGTATAGTCTCATACGCCCTATAGTCTCTCACAACCACTATAACAATATTCTTACAATCAAAGTAATTCCTTATACAGTGCTGATTCACAAATGACTCCTTAAAAATATATATATTCAGGTAAACTCTCTACAAATAAATTCAAGGGACCATAAAAAATGTGCTTTAAAGAATCCCTACACAATATTTTTCAAAACAAGTGTTTAACTCAAATGTTTCAAATAAGTTCGGATTTTAGGTTTAATGCATTGAATGTAAGATAGTTATGCTCAAGAAATACTCACAAATTGGTTTGATAGGAATAAAACTAATTTTTTGGACATTTTTATGAATTTCCATAAAACTTTTCAACGAATCTAACGATTTCCCATGGAAGTCTATTAGGAATCATGATTTGTACAAAGAATAAATTGGACAATAAACGTAGTTACTTGCAGCAATTACATTCATTGTATGAGGGACCACTGTACCTGTATTTTCTAAGCATCAAAGTTCAGAATATCTATGATCAGGGGTAATTT